CGAAAACGCTAGCGGTTAAAGAGACAATTCTCTTGTTACGATCTTGCCATTTTAATAATTTGATTATTGAATCAGACTGTCTAAATGTTTCTTCCGCTTTTATTTCTTCCTTAATGGACAATTCTTATGTTGGTTTAGTTGTGAAGCAATGTCAATGCATTGCTAGGGACATTGGGAACGTTGTTGTTCGCCATGTCAGAAGGTCAGCGAACCATGTCGCTCATGAGTTAGCCAAGGCGACTGTGTCTATGTCTGTCCTGGGGTCGTGGAGGTCTGTTCCATCGACCTGTATTTCGCAGTTGTTTTAAATCTTGAATGAATGTTTTTGTTTTCAAAATTTTTTTTTTTTATAGAATTCTATGTTCATAATTACTGAACTCTATGTTTATAATTATACAACTCTATGTTCATATTTTTGAATTTCATATTCACAATTATTGAACTCTATATTCACAATTACAGAACTTTATGTTCATAATTATAAAATTTTATATTCATAACTCTATGTTAATAATTATAGAATTCTATGTTCATAACTCTATGTTCATAATTTATTAAAAAAAAAAAAAATCTCTATGTTCATAATTATAGAACTTTATTTGTTTATAATTTTTGAACTCTATATTCACAATTATGAATAGTTGTTATGTATAAATAATAAAAACGAAAAATGACCAGGGATCGAGTCTCACCAGCGATAGTGTGGGAGCAACCTCTCAAAGTGAAAGGGCTCCTTGTGTGCAGTAAGCAAATGTCTAGCCTCTGTGGTGTCTCAAAGTGAAAGGGCTCCTTGTGTGCAGTAAGCAAATGTCTAGCCTCTGTGGTGTTGGGAGTCCTTAGGATTGGGGTTCAACCTTTTGGAAGAATATTTTCCATATACACAATCAATCGGGAGGAGGAGAGGGAGAATATAATTTTACCCTAAATACAATTCTATTTAAAGACGACATTATTTAAATTAAAAAATCTGAAAAGTGAAAAGTGAAAACCCCATGCTCAATCTAGTACGAGGATACTCCAAATCCAAATTAACCCTAAAACTATACTGTACTCCTGCAAACCTTAGCTCGTTGGATACGATGAGCACATCGGAGAAGACGGCGGAGGATGTTTCAACGCCACCTCTTCTTCTTCTTCTTCCCCAAGACGTTCTCGCCAAGATCCTCTCAAAGCTTCCTGCTAAATCCCTAGTACGACTTAGGTGCGTTTCTAAATTCTTTTGCGCTCTCATAGCTGATCATTTCTTTGGCGTCCTACACCGCAGCTTGTCCTTGACCCTTCCTATTAGTAGGGCGGGTAGCTTGTCCTTAATGATATGAATAAAATAAAGATCATTACCTTGTATAGTTTGTATGATTTTAGCAGATTAATTGTTATATGTTCGTAATTTTAGTAGCTTGATTATTATATGTTTTAGTAATGCAGTAAAAATAGATCCATTGTATATGAACATTGAGGAACTATAGAGAAATATAATATTCTTGTTCATGTTCTTCTTTATTCTTCTTATTCTTATGCTGGTGGTGTGAAATTAGAGTTTACTATGACTCGAATAGGTTATGAGCTAGAAACCTAATCGAAAGGTTTCCTATGCATTACGGTCCTATCTGGGTTGTAACAAGTGGTGCTCTCATTGAGATAATCTATGGAAATATCCCCTAACAACCGTGCTCTCGGTTAGACAATCTATGGAGGTATCACATAACAAATGGTGTTTTCTTTGATTTCATTGGTGAAAGTATCTCTTACTTTTTATTTTTATTTTTTGTTGCATGCTTTCAAAAATCTCGAGAAAGAAAAAACAACAAAAAATAACTAAAAGCATTTAAATTTTCTTCCATTGTTTAATCCCTTGTTTTTATTCTCATAAAAAAAAAAAAAAAAAAAAAAAACACTTCTTTAAAAGTTTCATTGCTCTCTATTTTCCATGGCTATTAATATATCCCCAGAAAGTCATTTGGCTTCCCAACAGTTGGTGGAATCCTTGTCCTAAATCCGTCATCAATTTCATGATCAAAACCATTATGACCTGCAAGATCGTTGAAAGCTCTTCAATTCAACATTCCATACATACTTTAACTCAAACAATTGATTCTCTTCAAACACACTACAAGTCCCAACAACACACAAATCACCCTAACCATGTCCATTTTCTGCTCAACACTGCTTCGCCATCAATGGGAATTGAGCAATCTAATCCCCCCATTTTCGGGCATCAATTTGTTTTGAAGATTAATCTTCCAAAATTTGATGGCAAGACCATCGTGCTTGGATTTTTCAGTCAGAAGGATTTTTTTTAGTATCACAATGCGCCTCATGAACAACGTCTTTCTTAGCTTGTGTTTCATTTATGGTTCATGGTGAAAATTCGCAATGGTTATATTGGATGAAAAGTACTGGGTTGTTGCATTATAATCATGGGATGATTTTCTTGAGCAGGTAAAGTTTCATTTTGATTCTATTTATTTGAAGGATTTTACTGTTTGTTTTCCTACTAGTTCTTTTGCGCGCGCTTTGCACGAATAGGATAATGCCAAATGATTATTTTAAAATAAGTATTTCAAAAGTATATCAATGCAATATTATATATGAGATGTTTATGCATAGGTAAATAAAGAGTGAATTCCATTTTTGGTCCTACTGTTATAGGGCCGTTTCCAATTTTAGTCCACCTTAATTTTTTTGCAACTATTATTGAATGTGTTCCACTTTTAGTCCCACCGTTAATATTTCCATCAAGAGGTCATGTAATCTAGGGGTATTTTGACATTTCTTCTCATCCAAGACTATGTTTGACTAAAGAAATGAGAACATTAAACCTAAAACCTAAGAAACCTCGCCGGCCCTTGTTGGAACGAACGAAACGATATAGCTTTGGCTTCCCATTCTCGTTGTTCGAAGAGCCATCTTCGAATATCGGAGGAGGAGGACGAAGCGCCTGGATTAAAAGAGAAGAGACAAACATAAAATGACCAAAATACCATTTGATTATACGGCCTCTTGACGGAAATATTAACGGTGGACTAAAAGTGGAACACATTCAATAACAGTGGTTGTAAAGTGGGAAAAAAAAAAATTAAAGTGGACTGAAATTGGAAACGCTCATATATAGGACCAAAAATGGAATTCACTCGATAAATAAATGTTGAATTTGTTTATTTAAATCGGTAATTTAAAGTATATACATTGAAGATAATATATGAGAAATTGATTATAATTGTCACTAAAATAAATGTTTTCAACTTTGTAATAACTCTAATCTAAATACTTAGTATTAAAGCGATAGTCTAAATAAATACTATTTTTAGTTTAAACTCTCTAATCCATTGTAATTCTCTTTTGGGTAGCATTGTCATTGTTTTCATCTTCAGTACATGTCTTCTTTTTTTTTTTTTTTTTTTTGTTGGTAGTGAGTCATGTGCCATTAGGTTACTGGTGGCAGCATAGAGGGATTCATTATGCAATGAGATTATGGTGTAGGAAGCTTTAGATTTGCATTGATGCGTATATGATTGAGATTTTAGTTGTAATATGGACAATGATGTAAGAATAATTTTGTCCGATGAAAAAAAATAATAGTATAATATTTGTAAATTAATGAACAATTATACCATTATAAAAAAAAATATAAAAAATATTAATACCATAATGACCTAAATCATTCCAATAATGCAAAAACATAATTGAAATATTAAGTTTGTTCTAAATAATCAAAAGAAGATTAATTAAACGCTAAAAAAAAAAAAAAAAAAAAAACATATAACCTAAATCTGTTTTGATTTTTTTTTTTTAAAAAAAAAAAATCAAGAAAAATCAAATGATTTTTAAAGTTACTGATTTATAATCTTTGATGCTCAACTGAATGCTATGTATTTAGTCAGATAATTATTTGACTAAAGTTTATATTAAATTTTATATTATATTTTTTTAATACATTTTAATATATTCATAATATATGTTTAACAATTATGCCAACTGTAATTGAGATGTGGTTCGAAACTAAGACTTTTCTTATATAAATTAATGATTATGTTAAGAATAATAAATAGTTAACGAAATATTCCATTATTAAAGTTTATACTAACAGAATTTAGGATTATTTTACTAAAATCAAAATAATATTAATCATTCATTTTAAGAAACAATAGTACCAACATTTTTTTTGTTCCAGTTAAAGATCAAACATTATTGACGATTATTAAAATTGTAGATGTTGCATCATGTTCGAAATGTGGCAACCCATCAGGAACAGTGTGAAAAACTTCCCTCGTTCACTTCAAAGGAAACCCAACAACATGAAGTTGGATACCCTAGAGCATCCTATTGAATATTTTAATACAAATTACAAAATGGTTTGGACGTGAGACTCAAATTGGAGTATATCGCTATTCTACATGGATGTTTGGACTTTGGAGAAATCTAGGGATACTGGGAGAAGATCGATTAAGATGATCATTCCATTCCATTTGAGAGTAGAACTGTGACGCCCTACTTCTAGGAAATGATCCGACCGTATCGCTACATGAAAACCTGTAACTAACAATACGAAGTCTAACCATACATACCTCTCAAAATCTTCATAATAACACTTGAATGTACAATAATTCCACAACCCAAAAAGACAAAATATAATCGACTAGTTCTTCCTAAAAAACTCATCAAATTCACTATTAAATATTTACAATCAAGAGTAGTACGTCCAAAATGCATCACAAGCATCAAAACCAAGCACAATGGTTTACCAAAAATACAAAGGTCAAAGGGAATATCTAAATAAACAAAAGTCCATGATAAGCTCCAATACTAAGACTAACCCTCCTAGTTTCAAAAGTCACCTTCGAGACCCCACCACTTGTGCTCGTGCTCGGGGTAGCGGATTGTTTTTTTATTTAAAAAAATGCAATTTTTTTTTTTATTTTTAAATGCCCCAATTTTTATAAAAATCCTATTCATACACTACATAATACTAACCATCAACACTATTATTACCAAACTATCAAAAGACAATATTATCAACACACTTTTAACCAAATACTATCAATACAATACTTTATATCAATACAATACTTTCAACACAATATAATATTTAAAATCTAAAACAAAAGTTACACGCACTCTTCTAAAAAATATTTTGCTCATAAGTCTCCAACCCCATCTATTTCATTGATAAAGTACAAATTTCAATCAAATACCTACAAAATAATTTTATTAATCAAATTACTAAATATGTTTAATTAATAAAATATAATTTAACTATACATAGGTCAATTTAAATTTACTTACCTAATGTAAATACTTTTAAGTATATATATATATATATATATATATATATATATATATATATATATATATAAAAGAAGGAATGTAGCACATGATCTTTAAATATGATTAGCATGCTACATTCATCACATAGATCATAAATGAATACAGAACTAAAGTTTATCGAAATGGGTGTGTCAATTCCTGTCAGTAAGCTATCAACCAACCACACAAACATATTTGTATCCATTTTGCTTCATATGAAGTTAGAAAAGCAAGAGTTATAACCCACAAGCTGAATAGTTACAGGTTCCTGAGGGAGGAAGTGGAAACAAAAACAAACCTCAACACCCCCTTATAATGCTAGCGACGTTTTGTCCAATCTGTTCCTTTGTTTTCTCGCAAATAGGGAGATCACCAATGTACATATCAAAAAAGGCCCCTGGGAAACAAAACCAATAGTAAATGTCCATCGGCCGTACGCCAAAAATTGATTGGCGTACCCTAAAGGTTTTATATTCATACAAAAAAAATCAATTACGTGATTCTAGAATTAAAAAATAAAATATAAAGGAGAATATAATGCAAGAATAAATGAGTACTTACAACATGTAAAGGGATATCTTGAGAGAAGATTGAACCAAATGTATGTATGCAGTGAAAATCAGTCTCAGGATTTGTCTGCAAAACAACAATTGTCAATATAAAAGCGTAGACAACACTTGCGTGTAAATAAAAACCCTACCAACAACTAACCTTCAACAGTCGAGCTCGAAGGGATTTCTCAAAAGAACTGCAAGAAAATGGAAATTATAGACTTGTATAATAAGAACAGTACATCACAAATGCATAATTAATTCCTCATGCCTATCAACTTTACCATATCAATTGCATCTTCACTTTAGCATTAATAAAAGTTTCAAAATAATTACTAGTTCTGAAACTAGAAGAAGGCATAATTTGACTTACTCTCTGACATTTTTAATTTTGATTCCATTGCAGCTAACTACAAGCCTAACGGTCATGTTGATATCCTCCCTGCATACATGCAACAAATACACACAATAGATACACTAGAAATGATAACAAAAACAAATAAACAGAGTCCTCATTATGTTAACAAAAGTTGTTGAGAGTATTCGAGTACTATTTGCAGCTACCTCAAAAGATCTTGATAAAACTCATGCTGGTTGTTCAGTTCATACGTGGGAAAAGAAGAATATTTTGGACCCAACTTCTGGCAGACATCAAAAGGATGAACATCTATAGACAATGCAAAAACCGATCAGGTGTTTAGGATTAAATTGGGAAAAATGTTATGAGCAACTAAAAAGTTTCTGTGCAAGAAGGGGAACACTCACAGAACCCAAAGGCATAAACCTTCAAAGTTTTTATTCTGATTACATTCATAATACGGGACCCAGTTCCAACAAGGACCTGAAATGTACATTGAGTTCAATTAGAAGCTTTTCTTAAATATCATTCACAAAAACCGATGAGTATTTCTCATCTTTTATAAATAGAATAAGGTACCTGTAATCAATGCATGCCACTATGATATCCCATTCTGATCACTGTCTCCCCTAGCTAAGAGAGAACCCCATGCCTTGTACCTGGATATGCAAAAACATAAATGTAGACTTCAAAACTGCAAAATAAGGAATGACAATCACTTGGATGCTCAAATTAGTTCTAAAATTATAAAAGTAAATAGACAAAAAATATTGTTGATTTCCATCTTAGATAAGCTAGCCTCTATACACAAGATATGAATTGAAATTTAAGAGTCTATTTCAATACAATGTCCAGAAACTATAAATCTTTCTAATACTGAGGGGTCTGAGGAGATGGACCAATTTCTTATCAATAAATGACAAACACTTAAGCCATATTGATTAATTACTTGTTATTGTTTCAAAGTTGATGCACTTGATACATACCATTCTTACCCCACATTAATTTAACTGATCCTCCATTCAATACTAAAGAGGCATGCTTATAAATTAAAGGAAATTATGAATTACACAGATAATAAAAAGAACTTCACTAAAAATTGATTACCTAAGTCATTGGTCTAGAGCTGACACTCTTGAACAATATATTATCTTCCTTGAGAGAGACCTCACCATCACATTTTTCAGGCCTTAGGGTAAATGATCGATTTTAGTTTGCACCCATTCAAGGAACGAAAAGGATAAATTTAAACATCCTAACATTGTAATTACCCTTAGTAGAGTATGATGAAACAAACCATGTCTCTGCACTTCTGTAGCTTGGTATGTTCTGATTGCTGCAAAGAGTAAGGATATTTGCAAACTATTCAAAATTTAGTTTACTCAAAGATTAATTATTGCAGGTATCCAATATATAGAATACCCATAGGCCACTTGCTTCTGGATCTGGATGCATCTTTTTAACTTTTCATCCACTGTCTACACTCCACGCTACAAATTAATAAAAAATTTAAAAAATCAACAAATATGATATTTATCAAAATAATAATTAAAAAACATATATTTTTAACAAAAAAAAAAAAAAAAAAAAAAAAAAAAAAAACAAACAAACAAACTAAATTACCGCGTTAATAATGCATAGACATCGGCGGAGGCAGTTGCAGCAGCTGGCAGCGGTCGCGGTCGCGGAAGGAGGCGTCGGCGAACACTGAGGATAACAGTGAAGGTTGCGTCGCTGGTGGCTGATGAGAGAGGCGGTGTCGGCGGCTGCGTTTGTGGTTGAGAGAGGTGTGTCGGCAATTAGGAGAGGTGCAGAGACCTGCTTAATATATCTAATATCGGTCACAGAAATGAGAGGGAGGTGAGGAGAGGTGCATAGATCTGGTTTGACGGCGGCGGAAAGGAGAGGGAGGTGAGGAGAGATGTAGAGATCTAGTTTGACGGCGGAGGAAAGGAGAGGGAGGTGAGGAGAGGTGCACAGACCTGGTTTGATGGCGGAGGAAAGGAGAGGTTCACATCTGATTTTAATATAACTATTTAATTTTAATTTTAATATATATATTAATATTAATATTATATTAATATTAATATAATATCCGCTAGAAAACACTACCCTTCCTCCGTTCCTCGTAGAAAGGGGAGCGAAAAGTTTATTAATTTTTAATTAATAAACTTTCCGCTCCCCTCTCTACGAGAAAGGGTAGCGTTTTCTTGTTCATTTATTTACAATTATGTCACTGCTCACTTTTTTCTTAATAATACATTACCTTTGTTTGAAGAAGGGTAGTCTAAAATCATACTCCGTATTTCTTTGCTCCTTTTTGTACTAGTGAATATAGCAAAATGTCATCAATAAATACCACAATAAATTTGTCCAGAAATGACTTGAGGACCCTATTCATTAAATCCATAAAGAAAGCAGGAGCATTAGTTAGCCCGAACGACATCACCAAAGTAGTCTTGGGTATATCACTAGCTTTAACCTTCCATTGATGGTACCCTAATCTCAAATCAATTTTTGAAAGGTATTTAGCACCATGAATTGGTCAAATAAATCATCTATGTGAGGTAGATGATACTTGTTCTTGATAGTAACTTTATTCAATTTACAATACTCAATACACAATCGCAAGCTACCATCCTTTTTCTTCACAAATAACACTAGTGCACCCCAAAAAGATACACTGAGTCTAATAAATCTCATATCAGGCAATTCTTGCAATTGCACATTTAACTCACGTAGCTCAGACGATGACATGCGATAAGGGGCCTTTGAGATTGGAGTAGTTCCGGGAACCTCTATTTCAAACTCAATTTCTCTATTTGGAGGTAATCCAGGTAAATGCTCTGGGAACACATCCAAAAATTCCTTAACAACTGGGATATCATCTAACTCAACTTCTTTCTGGTGGGTATCCATTACATAAGTCAAGAAACCGCTACACCCTTTTCCAATTCTTTCTTACCCTCCAATGCAGAAATTACTTTCAATGCCACTTTCGACACCAACATTCCGCTCCTAGGAAAGTGTCTCAAAGTAGAGATAGATTGTCTAGGAATTTCAAATACCACCTTCCTACAAGCGCAATCAATATAGGCATAGTTTTTTTTTTTTTTTTGCCAGTCCATTCCTAATATCACATCAAAATCCTGCATATCCAACCAAATTAAATCAATTGACACATCACTCCCTAAGTTGTAGATGTCAATCTTGAAACCAAGTATCTATCACCACAATCTTCCCCATAGGGTTATTAACATATAAATGATCACTCAACTTCTTAGCTTGCAAATTTAATTCCTTTGCAACTTCTCATAAATAAAATAATGCGAAGAACCTGAATCACACAGCACGTAAATATCTACAACTATATTCCGAATAGGCGACACATTTATCAACAGGCTAACCCGATGAGTTCGACCACATTTAGGAACACCTCTCCGGATCCTTGTAAAGCAATACCCCTTAAATTCAAACAGAAAAAGTATGGCCACATTAGCGAAAATGTTTAGGAAACCACATCCAAAACTTGCCCAAGGCATAAACTTATCATCCGCTACGTTAAAGTCTAATCTTGCAAAAATTCAAACTTAACTTCTTGACCAACTAAGTATTTAAACCTAGGCTCCGATACCACTCTGTCACGCCCCACTTCTAGGACATGACCCGGCCGTATCGCTACATGAAAACCTGTAACAATACGAAGTCTAACCATACATACCTCTCAGAATCATCATAATAACACTTGAATATACAATAATTCCACAACCCAAAAAGAAAAAATATAATCGACTAGTTCTTCCCAAAAACTCATCAAATTCACTATTAAATATTTACAATGAAGAGTAGTACGTCCAAAATGCATCACAAGCATCAAAACCAAGCACAATGGTTTACCAAAAATACAAATGTCAAAGGGAATATCTAAATAAACAAAAGTCCATGATAAGCTCCAATACTAGGACTAAGCATCCTAGTTTCAAAAGTCACCTTCGAGACCCCACCACTTGTGCTCGTGTTATTCACATGTCCTTAACTACTCTGAAACATGAGGAAAAATATACAAATAATGAGCTAATGCCCAGTAAGTGGTACTCCTCTCAACCCCGGATCAAGTAACCCAAATAGAGTACAAAAAAACTTAGAGTAATAAATAGATGCAAAACTCAATCCTTAAACTATATCAAAGTTATAACATACTTACATCATACTATACACAAATTCCCAAAACGGAAAACTTTAGCTACATGGGCATCAACATCATTTCATAATGCAATACTTTCAAAAGAACAAATCATTCCTTAACATATGACTCATTGGCAACCTACAACCACCAATATCGGCATAATAGTCCAAAAAGACTCGACGATTCGGAATGAGTCAGGCTCGACGATTCAGAATGAGCCGGATGGAACGTTCCAACAAATAATTCAAAAGACTCGACGATTCGAAATGAGTCAAACTCGAAGATTCAGAATGAACAATTAGGAACGTTACACGCCGAACAGAACAAACAACAAAATGTAGGTTGCCTCATGAGTTTGGTCAAACCTTCAAAATAATTCTTATAATCAAATAACCCATTGTAACAAAAATCAATTCCTTAAAGATCACATAACAAAGTACATATCCAAAAGTAATATTATGAAATCATAAACTAATAATTGTCAAATAAATTATATGATCCTTTTTTAGAGCAAACACGTTAGTACAAATCATACACATACGAATATGGTCAAATATAGTCATGTTCACTTATTCACAGAATCCAAACTTAGGCATGCCCAAAGATATCTTTAGTCAAGTTTAATAGTCCAACAACATATCATAGTCCAAAATACTTTTAACTCATACTAACCCTTAAATGGGGATTCAAAGTTGTAGAGATTCTAAAATAGTTTATGGGTTTTGCAAAATAAGGAGAGAAGAGTTAACCACTTACCTAAAAACATCCAAATCTTAGCTATTAAACTCGCCCAAGTACTCCATGTCAAAATCCCTAATATTTTCAAACATTAATTTTAGGGCTCAAATGATAAACCCAACTCAAAAAGAGTGAAAAAAAAAATGAAGATCAAACTCACCTAGAATACTCCCAATAACTTGAGACCTAAACTTGAAGAAGATGGAGATCAAAGCTTCAAGATTTTTCCTTCCCACATCTCTCTAGTCAACTCTCCTTATCTTATTTTAAAAGAGATCTTTCTCCAAGACCAAGGGATTCCTTAATCTTTAAGGTTAGAGAATGGTAATTTAGTAATTTTATCTAATATCAAATTTTAATAAGCTTTGACTTGTTGACCTCATTTACTAAACACACACACACACACACACACACACACACACACACACACACACACACACACACACACACACACACACACACACATATATATATATATATATATATATATATATATATATATATTATTTATAAGGTTGTGGGTATTACAAGAACAATCAACGGAGTACGGCTATACAACGAATCATGTTGGGGAAATTGTGTTGTTATATATAAACTAGTATTTTACCCGTGCGATGCATGGTATTGAAAATTTAAGTATAAATGTTATAGTCTCAGATGAACGTTATTTTTGACTATATAAAGTTAACCAATAATAATAATAAAAAAAAAGTAATCAAATTTACAAACTATTAAAAAATTTGTACATATCTTATTTGTTATGTTATGTTATATATATATATATATATATATATATATATATATATATATATATATATATATATATATATATATATATATATATATATATATATATATATATATAAAATTTTTAATTTAATAATTATGTTGATTTGATTTGTAATTATTAATATAAATATTTGTAATTAAAATAAGAATTGATATATAATACATAAGAATTGATATATATTACGTGTAGAAATTAATTCACGATTACACGAATTTATAAATTTGTACGTATTTTTTAGCTTGCATCTTTATGTTGTATAAACTCAACAATCTCTTTCATCTTGTTGGGGCTGACGGTAAATATGTTACCAGAGTATATTTTGTATAAGTGAATTGAGATGATTGTATTGCTAAGTGTTTCACTACACTACATTCAGCGTGTCCCCTGCTAGCTGAGGAGAGCTCAACATATATCAACTCCCTAACGGTAATAACATAATGAGACATAATGGGGAGCTGAGCCTTTATTTCTCTTTCTTCAATGAGTGAGTAAATGT